CTAAGCTTCATGCTTACAGTGTTTTGTGTTATATGTTTTAGGTTTTCTCAGGATCACGGGGCAGCACCGGCTTGATTGTACACACCAGGGGAAGCGTTTGTTTGAGGATCCTGGTTTATTAATTGATTAAACAAAAGAGTTATGTATTGTAACTTAAACAAATGGTATTTTTATGAAAAGTGTTAAAGAGATAAACTATTTTAATTTTCAAATATTTGTTTGAAAAATTACGGTGTTACAAAACTAGACCACATCAAGATTTGGGGTTGCGAGGCTTTTGTGAGACGCGAGACTCATGATAAGCTCGAACCTCGAAGCGAGAGGTGTATTTTCATCGGCTACCCACAGCAATCCTTCGGTTACCTCTACTACAAACCTAGTGAAAATGTGGTCTTTGTAGCTAGGAGGGCGTTCTTAAGAAAGAGAGAGAGAGAGAGAGAGAGAGAGAGAGAGAGAGAGAGATCATAAGCCAAGGAAACAGAGGGAGGCAAGTTGACCTTTAATAAATTTAAGATTCAAGCGGTGAAGGAACTTCAAACCCTAGCACTCAACTTGATGAGGAAACTCCTGTTGAGTCAATTAACAAGTATGTACCTCTGAGGCGTTCCACAAGGGTTAGGAATGCACCTGAGCATTACTATGGATTCCATATTACTGCGGAAGGTGATACACTTATCAGTGATGAGACACTGATAGGTCTGGATGAACCTAACAGTTAAGCGAAAGCCATGGCAGGCCCTGAGTCAGCCAAGTGGAAAGAGGTAATGGACAGCGAGATACAGTCCATGTATGACAATCAAGTTTGGAACTTGGTTGAGAATGTACCTGGTCGTAAGATTGTAGGGTACAAATGGATCTTCAAGAAGAATATAGACATGGATGGTAATGTACACACCTATAAGTCACAACTGGTTGCAAAGGGTTTATCACAAACTCTGGGAGTTGATTATGATGAGACCTTTTCTCCAGTGGCCAATATTAAGTCTATTAGGGTTCTGTTTGCCATAGCTGCATTTCATGACTATGAAATTTGGAAAATGGATGTCAAAACTACTTTCCTTAATGAAAAGTTGGCTGAGGATGTTTACATGAGTCAACCAGAGGGTTTTGTTAATACCGAGTACCCAAATAGAGTGTGTAAGCTTGAGAAATCCATTTATGGATTAAAGCAAGCACCTCACAGATGTAATCTTTGCTTTGATGAGAAAATCAAAGAGTTTGGCTTTTCTAGGAGTGAAGATGAATCTTGTGTATATCTCAAGGCTAGTGGGAGTATAGTTAGCTTTTTGGTATTGTATGTGGATGACATACTACTCATAGGAAATGACATCCCAACTCTACAGGATGTTAAGTCCTAGCTTGGGAAGTGTTTCTCTATGAAGGACCTAGGAGAAGCTGCCTATATTCTAGGGATAAGGATCTTGAGAGACTGGAGTAAAAGACTAATTGGACTTAGTCAGAGTACCTACTTGGATAAGGTGCTGAAGAGATTCAGCATGCAGGACTCCAAGAAAGGAGAGTTACCCATCCAGAGTAATGTCAGATTGAGTAAGATACAAAGCCCTAGTACTGAGGCTGAGATAGCAGAAATGAGTCGAATACCTTATGCTTCGGCTGTAGGATCGATCATGTATGCTATGACGTGTACTTGACCTGATGTAGCCTTTGCCTTGAGCATGGTTAGCAGGTATCATGGGAACCCTAGCAAGGCACACTGGACTGCAGTAAAGAATATCCTCAAGTACCTACGGAGGACTAAGGATTGGGTCCTTACCCTCGGTGGGAGTGAAGACTTGAGAGTTGTAGGGTATAGTGATGCTAGCTTTCAAACTGATATGGATAATTTCCGCTCTCAGTCAGGCTGGGTCTTTACCCTAAACGGAGGAGCAATTTCTTGGAAGAGTTCCAAGCAAGAGACAGTGGCTGATTCGACTTGTGAATCAGAGTATATAGCAGCTAGCGAGGCAGCAAAGGAGGCGATATGGATGAAGAACTTCATTGGAGACCTTGGAGTTGTACCAGCTATTACGGATTCAATGGAAATTTTCTGTGATAGTGAAAGTGATGTTGCCTTAGCCAAGGAACCAAGGGATCATGGGAGATCCAGACATATCGACAGAAAATACCATTTCATCAGACATCGAATAGAAGAAGGACTCCTCGTGGCAAAGAGGGTATCATCGGATGAGAATCCAGCAGATCCCCTCACGAAGGGACTGACTCAGGTTAAGCATCTCCAGCATGCTCGAAGCATAGGGCTGAAGGATGATATTAGATTTTGTAGTTAGATAACCTTGAAATTTGTAAAGTGTAATTGGCATTAGATGATGAATAAAAGGTGTTTTATTTATGAGTAAAGTGTTGCTATCTCTTGTCAATCGTTTACTATATTTCTTTTGCATGTTTTGACTTCCAGAATAATTATGTTTGGTATATCATATTATTAAAACCTCCATAGTCGGTCATATGTCAGAAGTAGGTATGAATCAAAACTGACATGATTGGTTGCAGAGGTCTAAGGTGTTGGACATGGCTACAACAATCATGAGTGCTCATAAGTTCTGAGCATTGGACTCCACCCACGCTCACTGGAATCACTTCATGGAATTTATCTCGAGTGATCGTGAGACGGTAATATCATATAAGTCTTCAAACCTAGAGATATGATTTGTTACTTATAAGTTGGTTATGCATTGATTGTACGAAAACGCATTGGTAACTCGATCTTATAAAACATGCTCTTGTGTATAATTCAATGAGTGGTAGAACAAACATATGAGTTGAAGTTTATCTATTCCTTCTTGGATTAGAAGCTGATATCTGGGCCCCTCGATGATTTTGTTTTGACCCATGTACCGGGCTCGGTCAGAACTAAGTTGATGTGTTCAATTAAGTTCTTTGTCAAACAAATCGGAAATCGGGAAACAAACTGCTAGACAATAAGTGAGACATTGATCCATGTATTTGTCCGGCTGATATCTCGAACAGAGGATTATATGATCACTTATCTTAAATGGCGTATAATCATCTTCTCAGTTTCGAGAAACCTTGAAAGAGCTACGATTGCTGATCGGTTCTTGAAGTCATACTTGCAGTTATAGTTATTAGACTTATCCAAGTGGGAGACTGTTGGATAAGGTGTCTAAGTCCATAAGTATTTCTGGCATGTACTTGACCCGAACCGGCATGGTCCATTTAGGTTGCATGGCACCATGAAATTGGATAGACTAAATGAGAGAAATAACACTTGTGGATTACTAATATATTATAAGTTCTAATATATTAATAATATTATTTAATTAATTTGATCAACAATTAATTTAGAATTAATTAAGTGATCAAAAGATAACTAATTAAATATATGGCTTAATTATGTAAATCATCCCTACTTGTATAGTGGGCTAAGAGGCTCCATGGATTATCAAGTTGGGTTCCACCCATAGGATGCTCCATAGGAGTTACAAACCCATGGATCATGGAAATGAAGAGTCATGACACATTAGGGTTTACATGGTGTAACCCTAGATGTGTCAACACTATATAAGTAACCCATTCTCCACCAAAATCGTCTACACATGAACAAGTGAGGGCTAGGCCGATTTTTGCAAGTGTAAGATTCTCTCAAAGTTTACTCCTTTGCATTTGGTGTTGTGTAAAGCATTTGAGGCATCACACTTAGGGTGCTAGGCTCACAAGGTTTCAAGGATCATAAGCAACAACAAGGTAAGTTATTCTATCTTCCATTCAAGTTAAAAATTGTTCCCCCATGTATGCTAGATAGGACTATAACCTTGGAATTGAACTTTGCATGATAATTAGACAAACATAGATCCAAGGTTATTAGGGTTGCATGTACACTTAGGAAGTGTTAGAATGCTCAAAACCCATCAAGCTTAATTGCTTAAAACTCCAGAAAGTATGAATGAACAAAGTTATAAAAATATATAAATTGTATGTTTTCTGAGTTCTAGTGAATTCCAAAAGAAAGAAAACCTGGTTGATTTCTTAACTGTAACAATGTCTTAAAATGAAAAAAAAAAAAAAAAAAAAAAAAAAAAAAAAAAAACACACACACACACATCTTTGTAATAGAGAAATATAGAACTATGATGTTATAAAATGAAAATAGATGTACGTAAGTTGTTGTATGCTACAATTGTATTACTTCAACTTGGAAAAAGATACTCACATGATATTGGGTATCAGCAAGGATTATTTGAAAACTAATTGCATCAATAAACTGTAAAGGGGTATAAAAGTAAATTGGCTGCAACCAACAAACATTGTATCTATTCATTCAATCTAATTAATATAATTATAAAAAAACATACCTCTCCAGAACTTTCCTTAGACTTATATATCATAACCAATGTGTAATACTTTCTGCATTTAATAAGATTATGAAACTGATATATCAATTAGCACGTAACTTTAGAAAGAATGATTAAGGAAGCAGATAAGTTTGCCCATTGGATATAAACATTGTATATGTTCATTTAATCTAATTGATATATCATTTTTCTAAGTTTAGATAAACTCATCACTAATAATATGTTAAAACAAGATACCATAAATTAACTTTTTGGGGGTCCATGGCAAATGAAACAAAACAAGTTTATGCATCTTTCGTAAGTCAATATTTTGGGGTCCATCAGTCAATGAGAGCAACTAGCTACGCATATAAGGAATAACCCTTAGCACCTAACAGTTAATGTAAACCGTGATCAAAGAAACCCTATACGTTACGATATGATCTGGTATGAAAAAAAAAGAAACAACATTACAGAAACCCATTTGGAATCTAAGTAAAAAACGAGTGGGGGGGGCATCTAATAATCATAATTTTGAGGATAGGGTGGGTTAGGAACACATATTGGTATGATTCATCTTCTAATCATCTTCCTCTATAACGTCTAAGTATTAGCATCTCTGTAATGTAGTACTAGCACCATTACTCTTCCGCAATTCAAATGAGGGAAAGTGTATGATTGAACCAAAAATCAGTCAATTTCAACGCCTCTAGAGACCTTCATTTGATCAAGTGTGGAAGAAGCAACAATTAGGAGGTAAAGAAATTTGAATAATCCATCACAATGATCTTTGTGGCCTCTTATGAGGGCTAATGGAGGTGTAGAAGGGAATTGCACTAAGCTTTCAACACAACTATTTCCTCTCCAAGGGTAAATTACTTTATGCCCTTCATTAAGCTGATTGGCAAATTCTTCTCTAATATCTGATAACTCATAACATTAACAAAAACAATACTTGAGTCCTACACACAAAAATACAATACATGTAATCCAAATTGGAGCAAATTTTAATTTCTATAGGAGTCCATAAATCTGGTGTAATGTATTTCAAGGTGGCACCACAAGACTCACATTCAATCTTATCAGTATCCACATTCACCCTGCCTCTTCTTGCACATGCAAGAGAACTAGCAGCTTGTATGAGAGTCATTTGATAAATGAAATGATTGTAGAACATGTTAATAAAGGATAGAAAGGGAATTTTACACGAACCTTAGGCTTTCCAAACCATTTTGCAGGCTGAAATGTAGACAATCGCCTTAAAAGATCACCCTTTCCTATGGTCTACATGAAGGCTGAGATGAGCCAAGAAGTTAACCACAGGCACTTGCACTCAATGAAATCTACATGGGTTGTAAACCAATTCGAGATAGGGAACCTACTTTTGACCCCTAACCTTGACCATGACCTAACCAATCTGTACTACCAGCATTAGTGGCAACAACAGGCGATGATGCCCCTGCAGAACTGATAAGAATTATGGATGAATTCGATGTTCAATCAATCACTTTTGTTATGGAATTTGTAATTTGTAAGTAATCTACAACAACCATTAAAGTATTACAGATTATTAATCATATATCTCCTTGTTCATAGCATTCAAAGATCGACTAACGGGAATGTCAAAATGCCTCTCGAATTTTGGAATCTCGGCTTTAAATTCCAATTAGACTTCAAACTTGAGCTCCAAATACGATAATTAAGATGCACCAGAACAATATTGATGCTTGCATTCATATCCCCAAATTGAATTGATTACGATATATTGTACGGAGTGACGTTATTGGCTATCGAAGCTAAGTAAATTAATGTAAAGGAGGTTTTGAATCAGAAAACAAAACATTTGTAGGTGGCACAAGAACATGGAAATCTACCCCACCTTAAACTGAAGTGCAAAAGCTACAGACTAGGGTTTTTTTCGTAATTCAACATATATTACATTTACAACTATGTACTCGTATAGAAATGAAGCAGCATTGAAGAACCCTAGCTAGGATAGAAAAGAAAAAGTCATAGAAGAAGGTCTGGATGAGCATTAAATGTTGGATGATTGATTGAAGATTTAGGGTTCGGTTTACCTGGAAACGGGGGTGGGAGGACGAGGAGACGAATCACGGAAGAGTAATGGGAAATATCAAATGTTTTTCTATTTCTCGGACAAACTTGGGGGTAGCTTTTGGAATCAATGGGCATTGATTGAAGATTTAGGGTTCGTCCCATCTTTTTTCTTGAAACATGTCATCATATCTCTTGGAAATAAGATCGAATTCCAGTGGACCTCTAATTTATGGAATCATTTGAATTTTTCTCAATAGAGAAACATTATTCAACAGAAAAAGGGAGAATGGAGATGACATATCGAGAGAGAGAGAGAGAGAGAGAGAGAGAGTACAGATGGTTGAAAAGGAGCGACCATCAACTTACCTGATGGGAGGAACAATGAAGACAACTTACACGTTGATTTGTGGAGGAGGAAAGGCTACCTATACCTTAAACGATGCTTGAATCAGACCTATATAAGGCTTCACTAGTTCATAGATGGCGACATGGATAAGTCGCAAAGCCCTTAATCTCCTTGTAAGTTTGGCATAGGCATAATGTAACGATCCCTAAATCATATTATTTTCAGTGTAAGGAGTTGTAAATGGTTGGCTCTTAAACGAAGGCTTGTAAAATTGATCAGTCATCGCAGTCTCGGTGAGGTGAGATGAGCTCGAGGTCACCAGTGGGAAGAGTTGAGCGGAGGTCTCCGGAGGTAAGAGGTTAGCAGAAGTGAGCAAATGTAGCGAACTTTGCAGAGAGCATCCTTTTGAAAAACCCTAGATCCCTTACGATTTTGTTATAAGATGAATAGTATGCACAGTCTGTAGCTAGAGGATGCAACGATGATTGGAGGCGGCGGATGTGGGTGAGGGTCAGGGTGGAGACGCGGGAGAAGAATGTGGGGGTTTAAAAAATTTGGGGATTTCACTTTCGCTTTAAGGAGAACCATGTTTCTTAAAAAAAATATAAAACGATATTCACAGGGGACGCACTTGTGCCCTCCGTGTTTTTTATTTTTTACATGAGACACTAATTTAAGGGCACGCAATAATGCGTGACCTAAATCCTTAAATTTTTTTGAAGATATGACACTTTTTGAATGTCACTCTATTTTACGTAACATAAATCAATGAGTGTAGTGGTTTGCGCGTCATAAAAGGCTCTTTTTCTTTTAGTGAAGCCAATACACGCAACGTACAAGCCATGCAGCGAGTACACTTATCGTACACTTAAGTACGTCCTGTGTACTTAGTCAGTTTGGGCTTCGTATCTTTTGGGCCTCAGTTGGGCAACTTCTTTGGACCTTGTTGCTTTGGTCCATCTGAAATCAAGCTTTTAAGCTAAAGAAAATTATTGGGCTTTAATGCAAGGCCCATATGGGGGTTAGGCCGAATTTGGAAGTGGCCTTAGTGGATCAACTTGTTTTAGGACTTTTTGGTTTATGGATTTGGGCCTTAGTTTTGATTCAAGCTAGGCCAAGGGTAAAAAAGTCATTTTACCCCAAGTATGGATTGTTGGCTATAAATTGGAACTCAAGTGTTAATTGGGTGTTATTTTTTATTATTGATATCTCGGGGAGTTATCAAGGCAGCAGTTAAGGATTTCTTTCAGTAAGATTCAGCATTCAAGGTGAGTTTCCTGACTAGGTTTATTGGGTCTAAGGCACCAATGTCAGCCCTTATTGATTATGCTAAGATGTTAGGAGTTTGTGTGACCTTTGTATGTGTTGTGTCCTGCTATGTATACCGAGCAGGGCTCGATGTCGGGCGAGGCCCAATGACTGGAACATATGCTAGTGTTTATGGTCATTATATGTATTAGTATGACTATATGATATATATTGTATATGTGTAGCGGGCGAGGCCCAGTGACAGGCGAGGCCTAAGAATAATAGATCTGTAAACCGAGTAGGGCTCGATGTCGGGCAGGGGCCCATTATGTGACTTATTATGTATGGTATAGGGTAGTTTGGGGAACTCACCAAGATTTGTGCTTACGGTTTTCAATTTATGTTTCAAGTACTTCCGGTTCCAAGGGGAAGAGTTTGGGATTACTGCATTGCACACACCATGTAGATTTCGCACTTGATATTACACTCCGATTTTATGATATTTGATACATTTGTTTTATTTGGGATGTACGATTGATGATTGGAATATTGTTTTACTAAAATTAAAATGAAATTTTTAGACTATATTTTGGGACGTTATAAAAGTCTTAACCTTTATGATTCTTTTGCATAGATCTAGAATAGTTTAGGTTTTTTGCATGTTTTGGTCCCCAAGGGTTGGCTCTGGTGAGTAGGAGCTACTGCAGAGCTTAGGTTAGCATTTATTGGTGCTTTAGATGTCCTTATTGCATAAAAATAGAATCTTATTGGGAATAGTTCAACCATGCATGGGTTATTGACCATTTTATGGAGTTAAGAAGTCAGGGTTTGGTTTGGGGCTCTATTAACCCATGAAAAAGCTTAAAGTTATCAACTTTATCAGTTAAGACTTTCCTAATAGCTAGATCTATGAATTGGACGTTTAGATTGTAGGTATTAAGTGTTTAATATGGATTTTGGACTTCAAGGAAGTACGTTAGGCGTAACCCTGGAGTATGCATGGTGTAATGGGCTTTACCCTGTTTCCCTTTCTGTTGGATCCCAGTACGCAAGGCGTAATTATGGAATACACATGGCATACTCCCAGAATCCCATTTCGGCCGTTTTTGGGCCTTGGGTCATATGGGTTTTGGACCATGATTAGTTGGGTCAAATAGGGGAAGGGTAAAATGGCCTTTTACCCTTAGTAAGATATATTATGGTTTAGACCATTGATTAGAGGTTATTACCCCGATTATTAATTAGGGTTAGTTTTGGATATGTTCAGCGTGAGGAGTAGTGGTAGCAGTAGCCCGAGAGTGTGATTTGTTTATCATTAGATTGAGGGGAGTCTCCTCATTGTACTTGTGGGTCAAAGACACCAATGCCGACCTAAGGGATTATGTTGTAGGATAATAGCTTTATTCGTGATACTTACCAATATGTATGTATGTGCTTGATGTCTTCGTGACTCTTGCTAGTAAGACTACATGCTTAGGTGTAGGGGGTGAAATAGACCCGTAGCGATTGAAAAATATCGAAGGAATCGGAAGGGACTCAGGGAGTTAGAAGGGACTTAGAGAGTCAGAAGGGACTCAGGGGTGAAATAGATTCATTACAACTTTAGGCTGATATGTATTTATGATATGTATGTATGATGTGTATGTATGGTATGTGGTATTTTGGAAAACTCATTAAGCTTTGTGCTTACACTTTATGTTTAAATGTTTTTCAAGTACTTACGGTTCAAAAGGGAAGGGCCTAGCATGATCGCATCTCATCCATCAGTATTTAACATTTTATGATTTTGGGATTGTAGTCTGATAATTATTTCCCACATTTACATGATTTCAATGGTTTGAAATGAATGAATGATGGTTTTAGTTGACTTAAAAATAAAATTTATACTTAGTACTTTTGGAATGTTACAAGTTGGTATCAGAGATAGGGCACAAATAGATGTGTTCGACGGGGACGCCGAATCCTATAATGGGAGTGAAGGTGGGTTACACCTGATCCCACATCGGCTTGGAATGAGAACGAAACATTTCCTTACAAGAGGTGTTGATATCTTCCTTCTCGTAACGCGTTTTAAAGCCGTAAAAGCGGCAGATCCCATAAGAACTCTGCAGTTAAGCCGGGCAAGAGCAATTCAGGGATTAATGACATCCTAGGAAGTTTTCGTGCTGAGAGCTCAAAGCGAACAATATTGTGATACGTGCCAAAGGATGATGTTTCACAATGAGTTTAACGGTTTATTATACAAAAAAGTTTAATGACCAAATCAAACAAATACTAATAGTTTATTGTACTATAGCAGCATTTTTCCATAAGAAAAACACATAATAAGAAAAGGATATAAATAATGGAAATCTCATCATTTCATACATACTTAACAGAGAGGCGTCGACAATACTACTTAAGGGACTAACCATGAATGATATTCAAACCATGATGACCAACGACATTGGGTTTTAAAAAGTTGAACTCAAACAAAAAATTGGTGTAAACTATAAATACCAAAACTATAATTACTCTTTGTTTATAAAAAAAAAAAAGTAATATTTTTTTATTGTAAACTGGTATTATTGTATTGTTGATGTATTGATATTAAAAAATATATTAGAAATATTAGAGATAAGTATGAGACATAATCGGTATTGACCCGTTATTCCTAAATAACTGTATGGAAAATTGATAACGAACACCAAACCGAACTAACATTACTGAAATGTGGACCTGATTTTGGTACTAACACTAATACGAATCCTGAATTTTCTAATTTTAAAATACCGAATAATGTTAACATAAATAATTATGATACTAAGTTGAAAGTTTCATATTTTTACTCACCCCTAATATCAAAAAAGAAAAAGATTGTATCAAGATATCGTTGTATTTAAATTTTTTTTCCCATTACATTTGGATACACTTTCGAGTTTTGACATAATATTTGAATTTCAGTATACATTTCTATTTTTCCTTTTTAAGCATATTTTATAAAGTATTTTATACAACTTATCCAATGACTGTTTCCCACGTGTCAGATACGGATTGCTCGAACTCAGTACACTAATACAGCATCCGATAATCAATCCCTACTCTATATCCACATCTATTGTTGCTATAAATATACGTATTCATGATATCTTGATCATCTCCCTTCGTCAAACTTTTTGCCTTTCTCAATCCAATTTCCTTATAGAAGGATAAAATTCATCCAATGGAAGATTACACTGAGCTAATTCCAGGATTACCGGAAGAAATCGCACTCCAGTGCTTGACTCGGATGCATTACATCGTCCATGAGGTCGCCTCCCATGTCTGCCAACGGTGGCGACTCCTCCTCCAGTGCAGAGACTTTTATTACCACCGGAAACAATCTGGGTACACTCATAAAACGGCTTGTTTGGTTCAATCGCTTCACATTCCGGCCGATTCCAGTGGTGGTAACTCTAAGCCGGAGAATCAACCAAAATATGGGCTATCCGTTTTCGAACCGGATTCTGATATTTGGAGCCAGGTGGACCCGGTTCCGAAGTACCCTGACGGGTTGCCGTTG